TAACTCCACGCTTCTACAGGTGTTGTTATGTCAAAAACTGCAAAGAAGACTAATCACAACCTTGTGAATGCGTCGTGTATATATATATATGTGTGTGTGAATAGTACTTTTCTAGATGTAAAGAATGCATCATATTCAAGCCACACAATATCCAAGAATGGATACTGTGTCGATATGTATGTAAATAATATCCGCAGTTGGTATATAATGTCATTTTTATCCTATTTGATAGTCATTTACATGCATTAATATTTATCATCTGTTATTTCTCATATATCAAACCTAAGTTAATAAGGAATAAAAGTTTCAACTCTTAAATGGTTGGGCCCTGGCACGGGCCACCACAACCTAGTAACCTCATAATTGATTAATATACCTTGTATAAATCAATAATAACTCTACTGCATATTTAATTAGTAATATTTTAATATATAAGTGGTATGATAATGTTATAATATAAATATCATTCTGTTTATATAAGCATTTTATATGGAAAAAATTGCTGGCATATAACATGAAAGATATAATTTGAGACATTGCATGCATATTCTAGAGAAAAAATGTATGGTATGTATGTAGGTATATACAATATAAACAATTTATATGTATTGTATAAGATATGTTTACAAGATATGGGCATTGGCGGAGCCAGGATTTTCATGAAAGGAAATCAAAATGTAAGGAAATAAACTCACCAAGAAGTCAAGGAGTGTCAATACATAGTATATAAATATATGTTAAAAAAAATTACCTAACTACACAGTGTAATTTTCTGACTAAGGGGTGTCGGTTGACACCCCTTGAATGCATGTGGCTCCGCCATTGGATATGGGTAGAACTTTTTTCCCGTGAAAGTTAGAAAATAAGAGGAGAGAGAGTGTGAAAATAAAAACCAATCCTATGATTTATGCATCATGTTTATTCAGTAATTGTGCTCACAATGTTTACAATATGCTAATACTCCCTCCATCTCAAATTATTTGTCATATTTCTTTTTTACACGATCCTTAAGAAATATTAATTCGAATGATTTTTTGACTATTTTACCCTTATTTATGTCTTAAGATATAATCCATCTTCATTGAATATTTATTCTATTTATATATCATCTCCATTTTCAAAAATATGTTTTCTACTAAGGCTAAAATGAGAAACAACAACAATAACAACAACAACAACATGCCTAGTAAATTCTCACAAGTGAGCTATGGGGAGGGTAAGATGTATGCAGTCGTATCCATACTCTGGAAGGGCAGAGAGACTGTTTCCGATAGACCCTCAGTTAATAAGGGTAAAAGGAGAAAATAATAATTAATTTTGTCTTGAATTTCTAAAATAATAAATAATTTAAGAAGACTATTTTTAGAAGTTACGATAGATAATTTTAGTCGGGTAAGTATTATAAATAGTTATGCTATTTATGGAATATAAAGAAGTGATATCATCTTCTTAAAATAATATTTAGAAAGTGCTCAATTGTGTAGTTTAGCCTAAAAAGAACAATATTTAGGGCTTGTTGGAAGGCCCTCCGCTGAAAATGGAAAAATGGCAGTGTATAGTCGCAGTAAAAGTAATAGTCAATATTATTATTTTGACTATATATATATATATATATAATTTCGGCCATGGGCTAAAAATGATATCTGCCCGTTAAAATAGTACGAGCTAGTCAGTTTTCGGACTGGTCATTCAAAAATAGCCAACGTTTGCAAAGTCATTAAAAAATAGCCACTATTTTGCTGCAACAGGGCATCAGTCCAGCATAATATACTGGAGATCGGTGCACCTGTGTATGAACTTCCATCATGAATTCCAACACGCGGAAAGTTCCAGCATAATATACTAGAGATTGGAGCACCTGTGTATAAATTTCCAGCATATTATACTGGACCGGTATATTATATTGGAACTCCAGTATACTTATGCTGGAACTCTATTATAATATGCTGGAGTTCCAGTATAGTTATGCTGGAACTCCATTATAATATATTGGAGTTCCAGTATACTTATGTTGGAACTCCAGTATATTATGCTGGAGTATTTCCGGATTTTGAACCATATTTTCGTTCAGATTTATCTTTACATAAAAAGTGGCTTCCAACACGCAAAAAGTTCCAGCATAATATACTGGAGATTGGAGCACCTGTGTATAAATTTCCAGCATATTATACTGGACTGGTATATATATTGGAACTCCAGTATACGTATGCTGGAACTGTAAACACGTGATTTTTGCTCTATGAAAGAATTACTTCCAAAAATTCAAAATAAAACGATTTTCCTTGCTGTGCAATTTTGAGAATTTTTGTGACATTTTTGGATAATTATTTGTATTTGTCTGTGCATGTTTATTTGTTAAATTAATAAAAATATACAAAAAATACGTTGCATTTGCATGTAGGATTTAATTCTACAATTAGGAATAATTAAGCTTATTTTACAAGAATGAAAATTACAAAAAATGTGCATTGCTTGCATTTTTAGCATTTAATGTCCAATTGTACAATTTTATGCTTAATTATTACTTAATTATGTGTTAATTGTTATTGGGAGTTACTTTGCGCTTTTATATCGACGTCCATGGCAGCAGCACCAACAACCCTCCACCACCTTCTCCTTCACGTCCAAACGGACCCATGGCTGCTGCGTTGCTCCATCTTCTGCCTCATCCAAGCTCCTACAATGGCGAACCCTTCACCATTTTCTTCGAGTTCGAGTGCGAGCTCTCATGGCCATTGTTTCATCTCCTCCATACGAATAGTAGCTCCGCCAACAACCATCCCAGCTCGTTGCTGCTACCTCCAGCTGCCTCGACTGCTTCTGCTTCACTTCGTTGTCATCGTCTTCGACCAAACGCCCTACTGTGTCGTCGCTGCTACTCCCAAAACCAAGCCCTTTCCGCTAAGTTGCTGCTGCTCTAGCCTGTTCAGCAGCTGCTTGGGCTGCGACGCTGCTGCTTTGTCAAGTAGCTGGACTTAAAACCAAATCGCACTGCTTCACTTTTTCCGGCGCCTCCAGTCCAAAAACGAGACTCACCATTTCGCTTATTCAAGCTTTGGTCGGGGTTTGTCGAAACAGTCCATACACAGTTCGAGTTCGTCGTTGGTCAGTTGTTGTTCGTGTTTCCGATCCGGTTAGTGGGTTTGAGTTTCACTTTTGTCCGTATTTTGTTTTTTATATTCTCGAATCTAAAATCGGTAAATGTTTGATTTTGTTTTGTTCGTGTTCATTGTTTTGTTAATTTTTCAGTTTGTTCATGTGAAATTGTTAGTTTAATGTCGTTAGATTCAAATTAAAGTTTAATTAATTATTTCTTCAGTTTGTTTCATGTGTTGTTATGTATTTTTTTTCCCAGAAATTGTTAATGTTGGTTAAATCATTTGAATCCGTCATGTTTGTTGTTTAAAATAGATTTAATTCATGTTCATCTTTGTTTGAAGTTCGTTTTTAATCCAGTGATTTAATGTGAGTTTATGTTTTGGTTTTTGACTTGTTGATTTAGTTTGAAACATGTATTTTGTTGTTGATATTGTTATCTCTTTGCTCATTCATTTTTTGTCTAAGTTAACCAGGATTTGTTCCCAATATGGTTAACTTATTCCCATTAATTTGAAGCTGTATGATTCAATCTGTGTTCATGAGATTTGTTGTTGAATTTGTTTAGAAATTGGTCATATTTGCTGTATTTTGGTTGAGATTGATTAGGGGAATTGGTTATAGCTGATGGGGTAATTTGGTAAATTGCAGTACGTTCAGGGGTAAATTGGTAATTGCAGTAAGGTCGGAGGGGCATTTTTGGAATTGAACATTTGAACAATTATTTAAGTTAAGCATGGGGGACAAGATGTAATGGGGTGGGGTTGATATAATTGTTTAATATAATGGGGGACAAGACATAATGTAGTGGGAGAGAATAATGTAATTATTTATGTTAAGCATGAGGGACAAGATGTAATGGGTTGGGGTTGATATAATTGTTTAATATAGTGGGGGACAAGACATAATGTAGTGGGATAAGAATAATGTAATTATTTATGCTAAGCATGGGGGACAAGAGTTTAAAATAAAGAAAACATTAAGTAGTGGGGACAAAACATACAATTGGGGGAATATTTGGGGTTGGGGATTCAAGACAAGAGTCTTGTTATAAATAGAATTATTGGACACATTTTAAGGGGACAAGATTTGATTATTAGACTTGAACTTGAAAGACTTACTTAGAGAGAGAGGAATACATTCTAAAAATCTGAAGAGAGTGTGATAGAGTTTAAAAAGAGAAAACAAAAACAAAGTGAGAAATGAGTTTAGTTTCGGGTTTTAATACACGTGGGTTTGGAGTATGTTTGTGGTGATGTGGTTTGTTGCTGTTTAGTTGGTTTACAAACTTTTGGGTTTGTTCTGTTGAGTTGTTCGGTTTTTCTTCAAAGTTTTCTGGGCATTGAATCTGGTTCGAATTGTTGTTGTTGCTGAACATGCTGTTGCTGTTGCTGAACCTGCTGTTGCTTTGTATTTACACTACTGCTGCTTCTACTGATCTTCATCTTCTTTCCTTGCTTTTCCAAATACCAGGTACACAAACTGATACACTGGTTCATCTTGTAAGCCACTCGAGGCATGAATGCAAACAAATGAGAAAGATTTGAAGTTGTAATTTAANTTTCCCAAGTGGCGACTCTGAATTAAATAAATAATCCCATTTCGAATATTGTCACTTAAATTGAAAAAACTCCCTCGCGCATTTTACCCTTCGGGGCGGGCGCGAAAAAAAGAGGTGTGACAGGAACTCCATTATAATATATTGGAGTTCCAGTATACTTATGCTGGAACTCCAGTATATTATGCTGGATTATTTCCGGATTTTGAACCATATTTTTGTTTAGATTTATCTTTACATAAAAAGTGGCTAAATTTCAATTACTTTTGAAATTGTGACTATTTTTGAACGAGGACTTGTAAATCTGGCTATTTTTTAATTTCTCCCTATTTGCCCGCTGAAAATCCGAGACATTTCAACAGCCCAAACCCGACAGAGCTAACAGAACAAAGTGGCGAACAGAAAGAGAAGCGAATCGGAGGGAATTCAATCGGGAGAAAATGGAGGTGCCAGGATCATCGAAGAAGATGATAGCGACGCAAGCAGAGATGGTGGAAGCGAAAGTACCATTATCATACAGGGACCAGTGCGCCCATCTGTTGATCCCTCTTAACAAGTGCCGGCAGTCGGAGTTTTACTTGCCCTGGAAGTGCGAGGACGAACGTCACTCGTACGAGAAGTGCGAGTATGAGCTTGTCATGGAACGGATGCTTCAAATGCAGAAGATCCGTCAGCAGCAAAAAGGACAGCAGTCAATTCCCCTTTTCCCTAAGACTGCCAATGCCTAGTCAATCCATCATCTATCTAATCGGTTAGTGCTTGCTTATTTGACCTACTGCTAATTTTATTTGAAGCAAAAATATACTGCCCTTTTCATTTACTTTTAAAATAAGATATGTTATGGCTTGTTCACTTTAGACTCCAAAATATTGGGGGTTTTATTTTCTATTTTTGCCAAAAAATATTTGTCGGATTTCTTGATTGTTTTCTGTTATAACTTAAAGTGTCAAATTGATGGGTAGCTCCTTGTTATTTGACTTTAGGTGGTAAGACATTGACTGACTTGGCTGTCCTATATCACTTACTTGAAATTACTTTAAGTATAATTTGTAAAAGATTTAAAGACAACCTAATGAAGATTAACGAAGGAGTTGTTGACGAACTTGGCAGGCAGAGCTACCCTGTATATGTGTTGGTGGGAGGTAGGAGGAACACGTAGATTAGTCGAGGGACAAGTTAGCCCGGACAACATGTCATAGGAAAAAATAATCATAAAGAAAAAATAAAGGAGTTGTTGATGATTGATATAGGTAGTAATATTAGTGTACAAAATGTTATTGGTTTATTACCAAAAAAAATGTTATTGGTTCCATGTCTATATCTTATTTCTGTAAATTTTTCAGGCACCATTGTTGTCCCCAAGTACATATTGTATAATTTCATTAGGCGACATTGTCTCCAAGTACATGGTATGTTGCCAATCTATATAAGAAATGAGAATCAGTTGCAACTTTAACCGATTTTGGGAGATGTGGCATCAATAATAGTCATGCTTGTGTGTCATTGGACTAGTACGCACGCAATTATACAGTTCGCGAGATAGTAATAAAGATAAAATACAAGTATGGAATTGCAATTAATTACTTGTTAATTACCAGAATTAACACAAGTATGGTTTTTGCAGACATGTGTTTGATTGACTACTGCCTAATTGGATTAACTGGAAACAACAACAGCTTATGGAATTCACTTGATTTTAAAGCCTAATAATATGGCTTCCCCCAATACTTCATTCAACTGATTGCATTCTCTTAACCTTACTATAATGAATTGAGTTACTAACCTAGGGTGCTAGTTATACTTATAAGTATCCTTTTTGAGTTGTTATGAGCCTATCTTCCTTAATTAATTCTTCACTCTTTGGATATCTATGAGAATAATAATAACAAAGGTGCATTAGTTTCCAGCCCTAACAATGGTTGCATAAGGCAGTGGTTGTCCATCTTAAAACTAATTCAACTGTTGAGCTAAGTGATTTTAACATTGCGCTACTCAACTCTAGTCAAACCTAGATTCTCTTTGTCAAGTTCGTTTTGGCTTACCAAATAAATATAATTGGTTGCCAATTAATTAATGCATTGGCACAAGATTGAATAAAGCAAAATAAAATGAGGATCTTTAAGTTCTAATATGTGATAGTGATTTTTGGTAACTTGGTTTATTAAGGGTAGTCGTACAACAGGAAATCTCTCGCCTAGTTCCTTTTCAACCCACGAATTTTCTCTTTTGGGTAAACACAAACCTCAACATCACAATGTTATTTAAAATAGGCATGCAAATGGAATTTATCTGAACGTTGTCCAGGTAGAGCTTTTGCCATCTTAGTTTGTTTTTTTAATCATTTGTGGTAAAGGATCTTGCCGTCTGAATAATGTATTATCGTTTCTTCGAATTTTATCCATATACATAATTTAGATGTCTAACATTTTCAATTATTTAATCTACCTTGCAACTTTTATTTATTTATTTATTTATTTTTATTTATTTTATTTAATTTTATGAAAAATAAAATCGAAGCTACCAAGATCTTGTTTATGATGGTTAGACATTACCTCTAGTCTAACCTCAAAGGTTCAACTAATGGTAAGCTTGCTTCCCGTTAGGTTGTGTTCCCTTACAAGATCATTAAATATATTTGGCTCTTATAAAAGAAGATTTAAAAGATATTTTGACTGATATAGTTAGGTAGCAGTCTTCTGCAGCCCCACGAGCAACACAGAAGACCACCATAGCTGCTGGTATCTGAAGCAATGAGGGTCTTGCTGAACATGTGCGGTGTTGTTGACTTTCTGACATCTTTTTTAGAAGGACAAGGAACTTTCTGACACCTTCTAGGTCCTCTTTTTTCTATTTGTTTAAGTCATCTTTAGTCATTGTTTGGTGCTTTTTGGATTAAGATTTGCTAGAGAAGGAAAATGCCATCCTCTTTTCTGAGGGGTTATAGCAGGCTCGAATGTGGAAAATGATCTGGAAAAAAAATAATAGCTATTCAAGGCATAGAAGGACCTGAAGGTTGTTTCGCGCAGTACTAGCAGCTGTTGGAGACAGCTTCGGTATTTTTCCGTCAGTACACCATCTAGGTGTAAAAGGTAAGAGAGTGAAGAATGACATTGTTTACGCATCTACCCGCTGCTCAAGCATATCTATGGATCGCTGAAGGTCTCATTGATCTTGAAAAAGTAAAGAGTTAGCCAGAGAAAATAGTGCTTCTCAAGTTCATTTCAGAGTTCTGGTCTTGAGTATATGCTAACAGTCAGCTTCGCGTCTCTTTTCTTCATGTTGCTGGAGTTGCTAGAGTGTGAACCAGTCTGCTGATTCTGGAAAATGAGAATCTTTTCAGAGAAAAAGAAAGAAAAGAGAAGAAAAAAAAAGAAAGGGAAGATGTTTAATGTTGGGAAAGAGAAATATTAGAGTAGAGAGGAGGTGGATATTTATACTGAGAGAGGAGTGCAGTAAGTTCATTAAAAAAGGAAAAGAAAAGGATTAGAGAACATTAGTAGTATAACTTTTTGTCTAGGAATAGTAGTCTGCTGGCTGATGGTTAAAAAAATGATTTGCGATTTTGAATATCTAGCAATGAGTTTGGATGTTAATCTCTTGTAGCTTCTTTTTTGATATATTGTTCGAATGTATAATTTTGTAAGGAGGTAAAAAAGAAAAGGAAGGAAATCATGGATATGTTGATAGCTAAATTGGTAGGGGAAAAGAGAAAACCTTTAATTTATATTTGGAGATTGTGATGTTGAGAAAATGCACCTACTTATCGGTACAAAAGTTGAGTGTGAAAATAGGTCTGAAAAATTTACAAAACTTGAACAGCATAGATGTGATATGGTAGTGTAAGAGATGCACCGGTTGAGTCATTTATTGAGCTGGCATGTTTAGTGCCAACAGCTCCCCATCCGGATTTTCTGGGAGTCTTAGATGAACTCACATAGGAGGATCCCCGATCATTGTTGCTTCTTTTGTTATTATGTAAACCCTCCGCAGGTCACTTAATAGGCCATTTGCGGGGAGTGGATTTATAATCTATTAAGCCAAAGGTGGGAAGATCTCTATATCACACCTGCTATTTGCTAGTGAAAGCTTTAATTCTGAACCCCTTTACAATGTTATGAGTCTAGAAAGTGTTTAGACTTTGTATCAGCGTGAAAATGTCGGAGCAGCTAACTGCTAAGAATGTCCCTATTATATATGAACTTGCTTTGATTGGAGGATGTAAAGTAGCTAAAGTACCTATATATATCTTGGCCTTCCAATAAGTGGTAAGTATAAAGAGACTTAGCTATGGCAACGAGCTAGACAAAAGTTTAACAGACGATTGAAAATGTGGAAAATTATGTCTACAGTCTACCGGAGGAAAGTTAGTATGACAAACGCAACCCTCTCCAACATTCTCAGATACTTCCTGTCTTTGTCCCTATTCAGTTCCATTGTTGCTAAACTAATTGAGAAATTAATGAGAGATTTCATGTGTGATGGAATAAGTGAACAAACAAAATATTTTGGTTAGTTTAGAGAGGGCTATTACTGAATAATAAAAATCATATTATTCCAACTTGATGTTTGGCATGCTGATACTATTGTGAGAGACATATTTCCTCAGCCCCCATTCTAAACTATTGGAGGAGTTAGCAATGCTAGAGCAAACAACAGAGAGCAGGACCCAAGCACAAGTTGAAAAGGAGAAACTAATGCAGATAAGAGTGGAATTACATCAAATAGCAAGGCTTGAGGACATCTCATGGAGACAAAAATCAAAATGTTTATGGCTTAAAGAAGGTGACAGGAACACTAAGTTCTTTCAGAAAATGGCTAACTCCCACAGAAGGAACAATTACATTGACAGACTGAAGATAGGGGAGGAAATCATTGAGGACCAAGAATCCATCAAAGCTGAAATCCTAAGCTTTTATCAGGGGCTCTATTCAGAAAGTGAGCAATGGAGGCATAGTGTCAACTTTGAAAACTTAGCTAGGATCTCGATGGAGGAAGAAGTGTGGCTGGAAAGAGCCTTTGAAGAAGAAGAAGTGATGGCATCCATCAATTCTTGTGCACCAGATAAAGCCCCAGGACCTGATGGCTACACAATGGCTTTTTACCAAAAAACTTGGTACTTTATCAAGCCGGACATTATGGCAGCAATCAACCATTTCCACCATAGCTGTCATATGGTAAAGTCCAGCAATGCCTCCTTCATTGCACTTGTCCCGAAGAAAAAAGGTGCAGTAGAGCTCAAGGACTTTAGACCAATAAGCCTTATTGGAAGTGTGTATAAGATAGTAGCTAAACTGTTGGCAGAAAGAATGAAGACAGTGATGGGGAAGCTAATCTCAGGGAACAGAATGCATTCCTAAAAGATAGACAGATTACTGATGCAGCTCTTATTGCAAATGAGCTGCTGGATGAGAGACTTAAAAGTGGAGTCCCTGGAATCCTATGTAAACTAGACATAGAGAAGGCATTTGATCAAGTCAACTGGTCCTATCTTCTGTCAACACTAAGGGGAATGGGATTTGGTGAAAGATGGATAAGGTGGATCAAGTTCAGTCTAACCACTGTCAAATACTCAATCCTCATCAACAGATCTCCAGTTGGTTTTTTCTCCCCTCAAAAAGGGATTAGGCAGGGAGACCCTCTCTCGCCTTTTCTCTTCATCATAGCAATGGAAGGTTTGAGCAAAATACTTGATAAAGCAAGGCAATTAGAATGGATTCAAGGGTTCAAGATAAGCAGCAACTCAGGGAATTCAATCTCAATCTCCCATCTGTTATACGCAGATGACACACTAATCTTCTGTGGGGCTGAAAAACTGCAGATGCAGTACCTCAATCTAACCCTCCTCATTTTTGAATCTATTTCAGGTCTACACATAAACATGGTGAAAAGCATGATATATCCTGTCAATGTGGTGTCTAACTTAGACGAGCTGGCTGGTATAATGAGTTGTGACATTGGCTCATTTCCTACTACCTACCTCGGACTGCCCTTGGGAGCAAAACATAAGTCAGTGGAGGTATGGAATGGTGTGATTGAGAAAGTGGAGAAAAGGTTAGCAACTTGGCAGATGCAGTATCTCTCAATGGGTGGAAGGGTGACTCTGATCAACAGTGTTTTGGACAGCATACCAACCTACATCATGTCCCTATTCCCTATGCCAAGTAAAGTTTAAAAGCAGCTGGACAAATTGAGAAGATCCTTTTTATGGGAAGGTAATAGTGAAGGTCACAAATTCCATTTGGTGAAGTGGGCAACTGTAACTCAACCAAGGTCACTAGGTGGTCTGGGCATTAGAGATCTTTCAAAACACAACAAGAGTTTGCTAATGAAGTGGCATTGGAGATATGGGCAAGAAGGCACAAGCTTATGGAAGGAAATAGTAAAAGCCAAATATGGTCACCTGGATAATTGGAGTACCAGAACCACAAGAGCTCCTCATGGGGTTGGGCCCTAGAAGCACATCAACAGCCTAAAGGAAGTCTTCCAACAAGAAGTGTCCTTCAAAGTTGGTAATGGAGCACATGTGAAATTTTGGAAGGATAAGTGGCTAGGGAACTTCATACTTCAAGAAACTTTCCCCATTCTATTCCACCTAGCTACTGATCCTAACTCAACAGTCGCACAAAATAGATCCAACAACACTTGGGAGGTCCTTTTCAGGAGAAACATACAAGACTGGGAGATTANTGCATATTTTGGTGTCTTTGGACAGAAAGGAATCGAAGATGTTTTGATGGCATTTCAACTCATACACTTTTTGAAAGCTAGATGTCTGGTGTATCTTTTTAGTTGGAGTAATATCTCCTCTGTAAATAATGTTATCCCCTTTCTAGACTTTATTGGCTCAATGAGCCTAGCCTGATGGCCCTTTTTTTTTGGTTAGCTCCCTACGATTAGAATAGCACATGATGTACTGGAGCTAACATCTCTTCTTTTGTACTAACTGCATCTTCTTGATGCCAGCAATACAACACCTTACTTCATCAAAAAAAGATGGAGAGGCCAGGGTCGCTAAATATTCAAAAAGGATGGAGAATAAATGTTTCATTTCTGATGGAACTCCCTAGAGCGGGGTAGATACATTAGCCTTGAAAATCAACAAATTGTATGCTAGAAGGAATATATGAAAGACCATCCCGTTATATAATTTTTGGCTAATACAGACAGAGGAATATGAGAACTTTCTAAGGACATTAGACTTGGATACTAAGAGCCCGTTTGGTTGCATGTATACACTCTTATAATACCTGCACAAAACGCTACATTAGTAATACAGTGTCTGATTGCCTTTTAAAACTTGCATATAATCCAGAATTGTACAATACATTGTTTGGTGAGTGTTTTTGTTTCCCACATAAGTAATACTTGCATAAGTTATGTAGGATTCGATGTATTACTTTATGCTGGATAGAAAGTGGAATTAGAAAACGTACATGGATTAATAACTGATATGACCAAAATAGCCCTCATGTACTAACAACTTTTTTTAAAAATGGTAACTAAGGTACATATTTTAATCCATACCTTATAATTCATGCATTATTAATCCCTACATTATAATCCATACATTATTAATTCCTACATAATTTGGTGTTTAAACCAAATGACCCCTAAGTGAAAAACTTCTTACCATTTTTTGGTGTAAGCAAGAAATTCCTTGTATAGATAACTGGCTATATTTTTTTGGTAGCATAAAGCATTCTTCTAATAAACTTCTTTATTATCTCACATATTGGTGTATACTATTATAATATTATTTCACTTGTCCGTAAAAGATGAGTGGGGTCAGAAGGAAGGATAAGTTCGCTTGTGGGCATGAGGATTATTTTGGTGCTTGGATAGAGATTAAGTCGGTGGGGTTGTGATTATTTGACCTTGGGTGTAAGTTTTACGACTGAGCTTTTTTAATTGGTTAATTGTATGGGAAAACTGTTTGAATTTTGAGGATCGCTCGTCGTTTAGGGTGATGAAGTGATGAAAAATAAGGGGTGAAGCAACTTCGAAGAAGCACGAGTGCTAATGTGGGTAAGTGATCGTGGTTAAAAAAAGACAACCGACTCTAGCAAGAGGGTGCTTATGCTCCTTAAGCGACAGAGCAATATGTAGCAAGGGGTCCTAGTTTCCCTTTCTCATGCATGAAGCGAAGCAACTTTGGAGAAGCGTGGGCTTCAAATTGTTAGGTACAAAAAGGCGCGAGCCAGAAGCGGCCACATCTTTGAATTTGACTTTAAAAGATTCGAAAAAAGAGGAAAAGGGGATAGAATAGAGCCGTTTGCCATTTAAGTACTTGAATTCCTCTCCAGATATGCTCGGTGTTCTTTTTATCTTTTTCTTCTTACGGTTCGCGAAAAACTGTTCTACTATTCTTTGCTTTTCTTGATTTGCTTCTTTGTTAGTGTTTTTCTTCTTCAAGATGACTCATTCTTCTTGTTGGTCTTGTCTTCTGCTTTACATTTCTTCTCTCTTGCTCTCAATGATTCGTTTCTCCTTCTCTGCTTGTTTGTTTTCTATTTCTTTTTCTATTCTCTAATGCTTCATATATAGTATGAATGTCAGGACAATAATAAAATGGTCTTTGCAACCAAAGCTAATTATTATTAACGTTCACTAAAGCAGCTAAATATGAATGACATTGCAAATGGATATCTGTAGCAAATAATTCAAAATTGGAAAACAAATCTGTAATTGAGGCTATCTTTTTCATCAGTTTGTTGAGATTACATTTTAACAATGTTTAATTTGAGCTTGTTTGGAATTCATATTGTCATAATGTTGGATACTGACAGGGAAATCCTAATTGCAATTTTGATATTATAAGTACTAAATTTCTATATGTTAGGTAATTTTTCTGCTTTCGGTAATTTGTGCACTATATTTCGAAGAATCATTTGCTTCAAATCTTTCTTCAAACTTACAGTTTCAAAAGTCTTATAGCTCTTTTTCGCTTGTCACTTTTGAAACACTGCTCTTGATAGCTTTAGATGTTATGGTGACNGGGGGGAAAGTATCATGAGGCGTAAGCCCCATTGTTCGGGCGTACGCTTGGGCGTTGGGTGAGTTTTTGTCTTTGGGGCGTAAACTTAAAAAATCTTTTCAAATTAGACTTAAAATTGCTAAATTGGTAAAGTTATTGCCATGTGACCAGGAGGTCACGAGTTCGAGCCGTGGAAACAGCCTCTTGTAGAAATGCAGGATAAGACTGTGTACAATAGATCTTTGTGGTTCGGCCCTTCCTCGGACCCCGCGCATAGCGGGAACTTAGCGCACTGGGCTGCCCTTTTAAGTCCTTAATTTAATACAAAAAAAAAAACAAAAATCAACTTATTATTAATTTTAAAAAGTTAAAAAACTTAAAAGTCAAGTTTTTTATTGTTAGCCCTTATATTTGTTCTTTCTCTTTGTCTTCTGCCCGTTAATGGGGAAAATAATCCGTTTGCAAACTACAAAGTAAAAATTCATCATCCTCCCTCACTTGCTCTAGTTCAACACTTCTAATTGTAGGTTCCTACTTCGTTTTTTGCAACCTTTTTTTTTGGCTGTTTCAAGTTTGCTTATAATTTTCTACTCAATTTTTTTCGAAGTCTGATTAGTTTTTTTTTTTTAATGAAGTAGTTCTGAGTTTTTAGTCAACTGTTGATGTGATTAGCGCTTTAAGATGAAACAATTCAATTTACATTTTCACTTATCTTATATTCTTGAAATTTCTACGTAAGTATACCTTTTTAATATATTAGTTTATAGAATATAAAAAGTTAAAGATCCATGGGGATTATGCCCGGTCCTCGAGGTTTATGCCTCGCCTCACCTCGTATCATGTAAAATACCTCGCCTCGCACCCGCGCTTTTTAAGATACAGATGGTGACTGACTACTTTGGAAAGCAGGTTTCCCCTTCCTCTGTTTCACCTACTTTTTCTTCTCATGTCGATCTTCTGTTCGGCCAATTGGACAGCGTCATCTTCATTTAGTTTACTCTTCACTAGGGAATTTAACTTGTTCAATGTTTTAGCTAAGGTGGGTTTCTCTGCTAAGGATTGAGTGTTGATCCTTGAGCACTCTTCTGTTCCATTCTTCATTTTCGGCCATCCAACATCTCTTTCTCCAATCTTCTTTTGGCACTATATGATATTATTAACTTTATGTCCGACCTAGCCAACCTTTGCTGACACTTGGAACCTCCTAAGTACTCAGCTTTCTTAAGACTAGAAGTTGATGCTGCTGACTTCAATATAATATAGACAACCAACTGATTATGTAATGGAAAGAGCAAAATGCGCGGGTGCATCAAATGTCCGAGAACAAAGGCTGAAATTGTGTTTATATAGTTCAAGGAAGTGTTTGGCTGAGATCAAATGCTGAAATGGTGTTGATATGATTCAAGGAAGCGTTTAGTTGGGTGCGTACGGGCTCCCAGGCTTGATTACTTTTTTATCTTTTCTTCAACCATCAGTCCTTATGATTCTAGGGGTTTAGAATAGGAAGAGGGCTAAGCTCAGCTCAAAGATTGTAAATAAGGGCACATTTGACGTTGGCATCTCCTTTGCATGCTCTTGCATTTAACTACTTAGTTGATTTCAGTGTTTTCTAAGTACTTGCAGCATGGAGATAGCAACTTAAAAAAAAATTCTGCACATTCTTTTGGTAATGTCTGTGGTGGTTATCATGGTTATTGAGTTGCTTTTGTTTCATTTCTGCTTCTACATGTAAGTTTGTTATGCAACGAGTTGTTCAAGTCACTCTCTTTGGTTTCGACTTCATGTTTCATCAGCTGAATTCCGATATGGTGACTGTTTTGACAGGAAGCAGAAAATACCAAGGCTTCCAGAACACCAGAGCATTGTCACTGCAACTTGGTGGGCATTTTCCATTTAGAACTGACATCTGTTGAGTGAAAATTTTATAGCGCACTCTTTGCACATCTTACTGGTCCAATAATGTTCTTCCAATTTGATGCTGTTTCTATGCTAATCCAAGACCTGTTTCCCGTCTCCTTTAAACGTTGTCTTTCAGTTTCTCATAAAACATGTGAAAAAGAGATTTAAATGAAACTGATAATACAGCTATGTTGTCTGTGAAAGTTGTCTGATTATTTGTGCTTTCGATATCAACTATGCCCGTTTGAATTCTCTAAGCACCTGCAGTAACCTTTCTTCCTGCTTATCTATTAGAAAGAGGGCTAAGGTATATATCCAGGTCGAAGAATTACCCAGATACACATACCTCAAATGAGATGAAAATTTGTTCACCTGAGAATTATATGGCTTTAAACGCATTAAACTTGATCATGTTCATATTTAACTCCCTTAGCCACCAATCTGCTCATCAATAATAATGGAGAAGCATAAAATCAGTCAGAACTATGACTTGTTCTATTGGCTCTATAGAGTGATAGTAATAATATCACATTGATTCGAGCTTTGGGGGTTCAATCTTGCTATATCTCTACCAAAGTCTGATATGCTAGTAACATTGTAATTCCATATTTACTCGAGCTTACTCAACAATCCCAAGAAAGCCTTGCTAGGGACTAGGGAGGATGAGGAATGCATGTCATAACATAACTATTCCTTTAAATCTTATATTAATAAATGGCCTAGTAGCAATGCAAAATTACACAAAACTGATACTCATATTAATATGGAAAGATCAAATCCCTAAATCTTAAAGTGAAAAAAATCGAATTGAGACAAAAATTATTCACACCCCTATAGAAGTATCACGTGAGTTAGCCAAGAACAGTGTTTGATTATCCATTGTTGCGTGGGGGAGGTAGGATACTCGTACTATTTCCCCCAATTACCTGGGCCTACCTATAGCAGCAGCAGTAATAACTAAGACAAGGAGTAATAAATAGTGGACATGGCTTTTGGATTTATTGAAAGCCTTTTTCTGACTGCTCTCTCTTATTGACTCACCCTAACAGGTTTTTGCATCATACCTTTATGCAGGAATTTTCATCATTCCCTTCCCTTCTTAAACACTCTTTTGCCTTTCCCAATCCCAAAGTAACTCTTCTCTTAGCCCCTGTCCTTACTGTGCGTTTCAAACATATAGTACTATTTTGTTTGCTTTATCTGAAATCAAGATTTTAATCCAGCCATTTTGGTAATATGATATTCTTTCCAATTTCATTTTACGTGTTTGATTGGACATAACTTTTTTTCATTTAAACATCTCCTCTAAATCGTACCATGATACTTTTGTGGCTGTACAATTAATGTCAGTAGTGTAAAATGTGAACTTAAAGTTATCATTTTTAACTTTGTAAGCCCCTGTGTGATATCAAATTAAAAATAATGTACGTGCAAATTACTAAAAATTTATGTGTAATTATCTTATAAGTAAATCGAGTATATATATACTGCATATTTTGTACAAGTCAAGTATAAAAACCCGCTTGGCATAGTCTCTTATTGGGGACGAAACCTTACTTATGCGGCCTAGAACGTCAACTTTAACCTTGAATATGGTCAATAAGATAGAGTTGAGAGGAACTTTATTACCCTCTCTTGCTCTTCCTTCTCATAGTTGATCTCAATGGTCCATATTTTATGCACATGAGCTCTCTGCTTTTTGACCTATTTCCTTTGTTCACTTCTCTTTTTATCTTTCACTTGCAAAATTGACTTTTCTTTTTTACTTTTGGCAGTTGACAGGACAAAAGTCAACTTGACATGAAAGATTGGTTGAATTTTCTTTCCCAATAATAGCCGATTTTTTTTATTTTGTGTCTCATACAACTTACACTACTTGTATAAGAAATCTTTTTTGTCTCACAGTTTTGTGGACCCGGATTTTTGTGGATCCAGAAGTGTAAGATTGGAGTCCACAAATTTGTGAGACAAAAAGGAGCCTCTCACAATTAATGTCAATTGTGTGAGACACACAATAAAACTTCTCACGCTATAGTGGCAGTTATTCATTTCAAATCTTTCAAGTTTAACTAGAGTTCATTGTTTAAAGCCGAAAAAAAAAACACATCGAAAAAGCTTCAATATATAAAAGTATAAAAAACTAAACATAAAACAAGAAACACAGATATGCTTCGATTATTTTTCGTGTTGAGCTGTCCCACATCGGTGGGATTTGAAGTCTTTGGTCTTCTTATATGGTCTTGGGTAATCTTCACCTTGCAGGATAGCTTTTGAGGTTGAGTTAGGTTCAATGTCTATTTATTATTTCAAGAAAACATTACTTTTAAACTAGGGAAGACATTCAAACTCAATACATCTTAATTAACTTGTGATCATGAAAAAACAAGGAGATTAATATATTGTAAATAATAATGGATAAGATTAAGGTGACTATAGCCATGAAACGAAAATAGGATCCTCTGAAATTTTTACGCACATTAAGCATTACCAAGTATTATCATTTTATTAAAATGAGTCTAACTGAAGAATATATTGATTTTTTTAAGTCTAGCCAAATAAAGTTTGGTACGTTTCAACAGCGCGACTTGTGAAATTTCTTCCTAGTTTTGGTTTGAATAAATATTTTCATCTCTTCTGTCCAATAGTGGGTGAAACTTCACAGACTGGACATAATTAAAACCAAAATAGAGACTTTTTGATTTCTCTTGTACTTTTGGAGGATGCATTTTGACTAACTTTTCCATAGATACACTGTAGCCAACGTTTTTGGATACTCTGACCGAAGTGGGAAAGAACAAAAAGAACTTTCCTTTTCTGAATACATACACATCGAAGAAGAAAGAATAAAAGGTACTCTTTCGTCTCAACTTATTACATCTAGTATTTGTTCTATGCTACTACTATGTGTTTTCAAATTAATTGTTCACTTCTTTAATTAAGATTCAGTTTGACTAAATAAATAAAGAGATTACAAACGCTCCCGTTCTTAAAAGATTATACATTTTATATGAATTTATTGTTTTTATATACCAATAATATAAAAATATTTACACTATCAGGTTATTAGAATGTTGGTGGATATTAGTGGGCGTTTCGACATAAGAATTGTAAAATTCCAAAAAAAAGTAAAAGAAAATTCAAGTGAAAATGATATTTGAAAATTAGAGTTGTGTTTGGACATGAATATAATTTTAGGTTGTTTTTGAATTTTTGTGAGTAATCCGAGTGAAAATTTTGAAAAACAGCCTTTTGAAGTTTTTCAAATTTTTGAAAAATTTCAAAATTCTTCTTCAAGTGAAAAATTGAAAATTTTATGGCCAAACACTAATTATGAAAAAAAGTGAAAAAATTCTTATGTCCAAATGGGCTCTTAGGGTGTTTTTGGTATGAAGGAAAATATTTTCCGGAAAATATTTTCCAATTTTTCCATGTTTGGTTGACTTAAATGTTTTGGAAAACATTTTCCTTATGAATTCATTTTCTTCCAATTGGAGGCAAATATTTTCTTTATCAAGAGAAGAGAAAACGTTTTCCAAAACTCCTTCTCAACCTTCCTACTGTATTCCTCACCCTCACCAACCCACCCTACACCCCACATTCACCCCACCCAACCCCACCCCACCCCTCTCCAAAAAGGCTTTTTTTTAAATTTTAGTTTCTTTTCCCGTCACCACCCACCCTGCTACCCCTGCAAAAAAAATATTTTTTTAGTATTTTTTTTTGTAATTTCAAATTTCTATTTTTTCGTTTTTCTGCACCACCCATCCCCACTGNGAAAGTTTATGGCTTCATGTTTATTGTATCTAAATTATTTATGAATACTCTTGAGAAGTTATTTGCCTTAATTGCGTACCAAACACTGAAAAATGAATAAGATTACTACTTGTTTTCCTAGAAAATATTTTCCACGGTAAACATTTTCCGTTATACCAAACACACCCTTAGTTAACTCAAACGGAAAATACACATACATTATGAGTAATTTTACACTCTCTTCCCCTACCTCCCCGACACTTCAAAAATCAATACTTTTTCTTTTTACTTTTCTACAATTAATTGTTTATTTTGCAGTGCTTCTTCTATATTTTGATTATCTTATGTTTTGCTATGCTCATTCAAGTTTTTTGTTGTTTTGACTTGTAACGTATACATTTATTGATTAATTCAAATAGCTTTTATAACCACACTTCCAAAAGATATTATTTCCTCCATTTCATTTTATAAACTTCATTTGTCCTAATTTATGTCACATATTTTCCATTTTAGTTTCACTTCTTCTTTAAAAATAATTTTATTTTAAATTTCGCATTTACCATCAATGGGATGATATATAGTATTTGTAACTTGTTTTAGACCATAAATTTCAATTTTTTTTCTTTTTTTCCTTAAATTATATTTCCAATCAAATACCGTCATATAAAATTAAGATGATGGAATAATGATGTTTGACAAATACAAAATTTAAATAAAAAGAAAGACTTTTAACACGCACAAAATTTAAAAATACTCTTAATATTTGTGGTCTTGATCGTGTTAGGTCATCATAATATTGCCATATAAATCGGTGTTCGTGGGGTTAGTGATGATGAGTAAAATTGGCATATTAAGATTTTAGAGAGAGAAACAGTAAGATTTTAGGGAAGGAAAGTCGAAGCAGCGCTTGGCCCAGCAGTTGGTAGTATTTGTATGGTGTAATCATTTCAAGATAGAGAGAGAGAGAGAGAGATGGACCATACAAAGATATATCACTTAAAAACGTAGTCGCGATTGCAGAATCAGAGAGGAGAGACTGAATTTACAGAGGAATTTACCCTTTTTCTCTTCTCGTGATATCTCTGCCTCTACGATCATCATTATACCTACGTTCGTTTCTTTAGACCTAGACACTGCCAACTAAAAAACAGCTCTTTCTCTTTGCTTAAAGTTTTACAATTGAACTGTACTGTACTGTACTGTACGGATAGAGGAGCTAGTCTTATACATACAGAGGTGTTGGAAGTATAAGAAAGAATTAGTTATAGGAAAATATGTAATGGGAAACTGCGAAAGGAATAATGGTGGAGTGAGGCAATATACAAGATCAAAAGTTCCTCGTTTGAGATGGACACCTCATCTTCATCAATGTTTTCTTCTTGCTATTCAAAAACTTGGAGGCCATGACAGTAAGATCCTTCTTCTTCTTCTTCTTCTTCATCACTACTAGTATTTCTCACGAAAATTTCGACCAATATCCACGTAAAATTCGCAGATTTCTAGCAGTAATGTTTTTTTGATCTGTCTAATGTGTAGAAGCTACACCAAAGCTTGTTCTTCAGATGATGGATGTGAGAGGACTTACAATATCACATGTCAAAAGTCATCTCCAGGTATAAATATATACTCCATGTGTTTAGTATTTATTCCATTCCTTTTTCCCCTTCTGTTTTCTAACTTGTTATTCATATATTTGTTGTCGAACAGATGTACAGAAGCATGAAGAATGATGTTAACTGGCAAGGTATTCTTTTTTCAGGACTTGTCTAATTATTATCCTATACTATGTGTTTGTGGAGGAAAACAATTATTCCAGACTTGATGGTTCCACATGCATACATATCTTTGGAAATCATCTTATTCCACCTCATTGTTACAATATTTTATTTGTTTCCTTCTTTTTACGATTAAAATCCATAAGCACTAAAATGAAGATACAATATAGATGCCTTAAAATCTTCTAAATTTGCCATTTTTGTTGGTCGACTCTCAAGCAGGAGAAAGAAGCAAAAGTCAACCAGGAAAATTACAGTCCCTAGAAGATGGTCATTCTCATCTTCAACAAAAAGAAGTATGTGTTGAAGAAGAAAAAGTTTTGAGATACCATTCATGTTGTAGCCCCACCATTGAAACATTAGAATCTCCATTCATGTTACTGCCCCCTAAAAGGTGAGTTTAATTTGTACGCTTTATGCCTTCACTTTCCGAGTCTAAAAAATGAATCCTATCTAGCAAGTAACCAAAAAAAGGATTTGCATTTTATTATACATAGAAAGGGCGTTTTCTTTTCCTCTTTAAGAGCCGTTAAATTTTGAGATTAAATTTGTTCAATATTTTGATCAGGATAAAATTTATGGCAAAATCATGGAATTATTTATCCCATATTGAAGGCAGATTCTATCATATGATTATAATCCTGAGATAACCTGGTTTTTAACCAAATGACCCCTTAAAGTTTAAGTTCTATTTACCTAATTAATTAGATTACTTAATAAGGTAACTACAATAAAATTTTCATAATTAAAAACTCAATAATAGATCACGGATTCGAGCCGTTAAAATAGTCACTAATACTTGCATTAGGGTAAACTGTCTATATCACATTCCTTAGGGTCCGACCGATCCCATATCTTGCGTGAATACCGGATCTTGATCCTTATGCACTAAACTACATTTTTTAAAGAAAATACTCAACAACAACAACAACAACAATAATAATAATAATAATAATAATAATAATAATAATAATAATAATAATAATAATAATAATAATAATAATACTAGTAACCACCTATTATAATAAGTTAAACTACATAAAAATATTTGTACAATCGGTGTACATATCTATAATTCTCTCGGAAACAGCCTCTCTATTCCCTCAGGGGTAGGGGTAAGGTCTGCGTACATTCTACCTCCCCAGACCCCACTGATGAGATTTTACTGTGTTGTTGTTGTTGTGGTGGTGTACATATATATATATATATATCTATAATATGGATCTTCTTTATATATGGATCGAGTCAATTTGTTTGATGGAGCTACGATATTCGTCTCAGAGCTCGAATGGAGACCACAAGTTGTAAGCCAGAGAGTCTGCAAAACTGCAGGGAGAGAATACGTGAAGCAGTAGCCAATTATTCGTATAGTGGTGATGATTACATGCAGACTATTAATTATACTGAGAAAAGTGGGGTAAATAAGGAAGGAATTACTGCTTTCAGATGGCAACAGATTTGTGATACACAAAGAGAAGCAGCAGTACTTCCCCTGTGCCATACTGCCTCTCCCTCACTCGATTTTTTTCAGACTTCTAATCTTCTTACCAATGCTGTTCAAGAATCTAAACATTTAAAGGTACATCACCCTCCGCTCTCTCCCCCATTTTAACTCCCCTTCAGCCTATGTTTCTTGCCTTATGTTTTAGCTTATTAATCTTATTTATTCTACTATATGAAGTTTTATAGTGTTGAAATTAGTGCGACCATCTCATCTGAAAATTTTAGTTATTAGAGGGAGTACACTTTTATATGTTTTATTATAGGTAAATAGTTAAGTTACCCTGGACTATGAACCAAATTCTTGTTATACACTTTTTTACTACAAAAATCATTTTACACACTCAACCTTTCTAGAGCGTGTCTAATATACATATTTTTTGCTACGTGGCTTGCGCTGTCTTTCTACTAAAGTCATCAATGAATAACATAAAGTATTTACTTTTACCAAAGAAAGGTAGATTGATTGGTCCACACACATCAGTGTTCACACAATTGATTGGGATGACTGATTGATGGTATCCCATGCACCATGTTCTTTTCTCCCATTATTTTGAGCGCTTCAAAATTCAAGTGCCCAAATCGCATGTGCCAACACCATGATTCATCTTGCACATTAGCATTCAAACACTTTGCATCAATTGTTTTAAGATTCAGAGAAAATAATCTATTTTTGCCATATACACTTTAGCAATTAGAATTCCACTTGAATCTCTAAGCCAAATATGCCTATTTTTCATGTGGATATCATATTCCTTTTCAAGAAGTTGGCCCAGATTCAAAATATTACTTTTTTATTTTGGCACATAATAAACATCTTGAATTAGTTTGTGGCAACCATCTTTACAGGAGATCAGAATCGTACTAATCCCTACGATTTGAATCTTTGAGGTATCTCCAAAGGACACATTACCTCTTACTATTTTATTGATCTCCACAAACTTTTCTTTGCATCCACACATATGATTGCTTGCTCCATTGTCCAAATACCACGAGCTGAAATTATCCATGTCTTCTTCCTTGAGTGTCATCAACAATGTTGACTCAACTTCTTTTTTCTTGTTGTCAACAAGGTTAGCTTTTTCTTCAACATTTCTATGACATTCCCAAGAGTAATGGCCAAATTTATGACAAGTATAGCACTCAATTTTTAATTTGTTATACCTTTGTCCATTATTTTCTTGATAGTAGCCACGTCTTCTTCCGCCTCTATGTCCACGACCACGACCTCTGAATGTTTGGTGGATTTTAACTTTATTGTTAAAGTTGTTACCATTACTTTTTCCTCGTCCATGACCGCCACGGCCTCTTCCCCGTCCATTCCCTCGATAGCTCTTTTCACCTCCATAATCCTTGAAGGATGCCTGAGTTTTAAGAAGTTGCTCCAATGGCACTTCTTGTCTCCTCTTGATCTTTTCGTCATGGGCTTGTAAAGAACCCTCCAATTGCTCCACCATCATTGAGTCTAAATCTTTAGACTCTTCAATAGCACACACCACAAAATCGAATTTAGGTGTTAAAGTGCAAAGGATCTTTTCTACCACACGGACATCTTCTCTATCCTCTCTGTATCTTCTCAACTGATTTATAACAACCTTCACTTTTGAACAATAATCCGAAATGCATTCGGATTCTATCATTTTTAAAACTTCAAAATCAGCCCTTAGAGTTTGAAGTTTTACATTCCTCACCTTGTCAATTTTTTGAAGAGAATTTTGTAAAATCTCCCAAGCTTCCTTTGAGGTGGTAACATCTGCCACCTTCTCAAACATGGCATCATCCAAACATTGGTGGATGAGCGTGAGGGCTTATTGATCCTTCTTCCTTGTCTTTGCCAAGATATCTTTTTCATTTTGACGCAGAGCTTCCTCATTATCGGGTTTTGCGTACCCTCTATCTATGATTTCCCACACATCCTGGGAGCCAAGAATGACTTTCATACATAGACACTATTTCTCATAATTATCTTTTGTGAGACGGGGGTACTGAAAAATAGCGGACCATTATTCGCCATGGCTCTGATACCACGTTGTTGGGAAAAATAATAGTCCCGTCCAGGAACAATATCCACGATAAATCACAATAACACAAGAGAGTAACAAAAACACCAAATTTTTTAACGGGGTAAAATATAATACCCGAGCGAAGCAATATTACTACTATAATGTTACAACTTAGTAGTGCCAAAAGACTACTACAACTTCGAAAGAAATAACACTCTTTATTTTAAACACCTCAGTATAATATTACTCACACTCACTATTTATCTCGTTACAATTCATGGATTAATCTCTCTAACTTCAGTTGCTTTTCTCTTGTTTTAGTGTGCATAAACTGAATGAGCGAGGCTCCTATTTATAGTGAAACTTGCCAAGCTCTAAACCAATCAGATTGCTTTAGTTTGTTGCAATTTGATATGCAAGTTGTCATTGCTGCAAACAAGAATCGTCAACTTGCAACATCCATTAGAAATTACATTGTTGCCGCCGCCCACAATTGCTACTTCTTTCATCCAATTACATTATTTATCTTTTTCTATTTCTTTTTGTTTATTTTATTTAGGGACCCACATTAACAAAAAGATAAATATTTTGTCTAAATTCATATTTTAATAACACGTGTCAAAATAGAATTTTCTTTATTTTCCATTTTTATCAAATGAAAAAAGCTACCAAACTTGAGTGTAAGTCGGTGATTATGCGAGTATACCGGGACAAATAAGATTAGGAATGAAGTTATTATGGAAAAAGTGAGAATGACCTTCGTGTAGGACAAGATAGAAATAAAGTTTGTGTACACACTATCCTCCTCATATCCCATTTTTGTGGGATTACATCGGGCTCGTTGTTGCTGTGGTTGCTGTAAGTTGGTGATTATAAGGTCTACTTTCAAGTTTCAAGTGTCAACTGTAGTCATGCAACGTATACTTCCTTTTATTCTCTTTCTATTTATTTGCCTGTGAATACTTGGGTGAGCATTGACTGATACTACTACATAGAGAGGTCTTGATTCTTGGTCTTGGGGTACAACTGGCGAGCCGTAACAGTCTTATTTCTCAGGTATTATGTACAATAAAAAGAAAGCATATACCCTTATAATTCTATGAGTATTCTGACAGAAGTTATATTTGCCTTATCTTCTCGTGGTCAATACACCTACTGCTTTCTTTTCTACAGCGATTCTTGCCTTTGGTCTTTGCTTTTTCTGTTGAAGTGTGTGTCGATATCATATTTATAATGTGTTTGGCCAGTTTTCGACAAAGATGTTGAACAGGAATTCAATACTGCAGTATAGTCTTTTTACCTAAACTTGTATATTTTATATATAGCAAAAACTATGCTGTAAATTTGATCATGTTTTGGGTAAAGAAAATTCGTGATGGTTGGACTTGAAATTCTCTTGACTGAAATCCCAAATGGATACTAATGCATTCTGGAGCAGTGAAGTGGAAATGAATATGGAAATAGCAACAGCAGACTTTATAACAGTGGGCCACCTTATTTAAGAAGTAATGAGTGAAACCTATATGGTACTACTGTCTTTAGCAAAAAAAAAAAAATATGGTACTACTGTACTTTTCTGCAAGGTTACATATCAAAATGCAGATATTTTTGCCATTTAATGATACATAACCTAATTTTAGTAGAAACCTTTTGACTGTTAATTAATTACGATATGCTATCATATAATCATAAGCCACACGCATACAAAATTTCTTTGGTGCCCCTTCTAACTCCATGAGCTAATAATACTGTATACGGGCATGAGAAAAATCTTTCAGCTTATTTTACATTTCATTCTCATTTCATCATGAGATCTACTCATTTTAAGGGATTAATATTTTGAATTCAAAAGGTTACATATTTAATGAATTGCATTTTGAATATGTTGAACTCTTGATAAGCTAAAATATTTCCTACAGAAAGTGTGGAAGAAAAAAATAAGAAAAGAAAAGCCTAATCTTTAAATGTAGAAAACTAAAACCTCATAGTATAATTTTCTGTATGCTCCGTGTAATTTTCCGACGAAGGGTGTTCAACTGAACATCATTCACTCTATGTGGCTACGCCATTCTAACGTCTGCATTTTTCATAAATTGATGGATAATTTTGTTACTCAGTTGTCCATGCAAGAGGATGAGAACTGGAAATCATCAAAGAAGCGTAAATTTGATCAAAGCTTGAGGAAGATAAAGAATGGAGAAGAAGAAGAAGAAGAAGATAGTTGTAGATTGTCATTATCTCTCTCACTGCACCATCCTTGTGGTCAAAGAAGCAGTACTTCAGCTTCTACAAATGAGGCAATCTCTTCATACTCAGACTGTAACTACTGGAATTCTTTCTCAGAAAAGCATAGTCTCAATCTTGACCTATCTATTGCCTTGTCGTGAGTGAGAGACTTACATGCAGAATCCCCTTTGTTGAATATTAAAGTATTAACGCTTAGTTACATTTTTCTTATTGTCGTTTAAAGTGTTATCATTAATCTCTTAACTTGCATACAAAATTAGATCTCTTAACTTGCAAATTCGACCCTTTTTCATATTTTAGGTTCTTAATTATGCTTACTTTACTAGATTTATCTCTTCTTTGTTTGCTCTCCGCAAAATTTTCAGACTTGTAGGCTTCTATGAATAAGTTACAACGTACTCCCTCTCTTTCACAAAGATTGTCCTTGGCACAAGCTTTACTAAAGAAGAGAAAACTTTTGAATATGTGGTGCCGTAACATTTGTGTGGCTGTAAAACTTTTGAAACTTATGGTCTAAAACCAGTTACCATAATATTTGTATAGCTATAAATGCTTCATATTAAAAAAATATTGAAAATGTGTCAATCTTTTTGGAACAGACTAATAAGGAAATAATGCACATCTTTTAAAAAGAGAGGGAGTACATATTTTCAATGCGTAAAATGATACTTCCAATTATTTATTACTCGAGAGTAAACTTCTCCGACTGTTAGTTATAAAATTTTATACGAAACAAAACTTCTGATTTTTTAAATCAGAATGAAATCACTTCATGATATTATATAGATGTATTGATATTAGTAGAAACATTTACACAAGTATTCGAATGAAAGTGTATATATTTGGCAGTCAAATAGAAGAATGAAGCGAATACTTATTTAATACTCCCTCCGGTCTACAATAAGTGATTTTTTGGTTTTTTTTGTGGTCCAAAATAAATGACTTTTTCAGATTTCAAGAATGAATTAATTATTTTTTTCTTACATTGCCCATGAAGTAAAATAATGTTGGAGTATGTGTTAGGAGTGTTTATGTGAGATAGTAAAGGTTAATATGGTCAATTTCATTGCTAATTAATGTTAAAAGGTGAATTTCTTAATCTGCATGAAAACAACCAAAAAATCACTTATTTTGGACCGGAGGAAGTAATACTATGTAGGAGTAATTAGTATAGCATTTATAGATTGATATTGCTTTATACTTACTCCCGCTGTCCCAAAATGCTCGACACTTTTAGCTTAGGAGTTAGGATTCAAATTTAGGTGAACTTCTTCTAACACGTCATCTTTAATACGAGAAAATCACAACCTATATAATAAATTTCTTGTAGTTCGTGAATATTTCAGCTTTATTAATAATTTTTTGTTTGTTAAATTAGCCTTCACTAAGGGCAACAAGAAGATTGATTTGAGGCAAAGGGAGTATTAGTAGTTTATCAGTATTGGTGTGACATTCTTTGATCTTAGTTCATATTTTAGTAAAGAATCAAGTTATTTTTTATCACTTCAAATTTCCGTAATAATTGAGCAGGATGATTTAATTTGAAGCTCGAGTAGTATTTTGACAAAGGGGACTTATTTTGAAATACTTGGACATGGCCAAAAGGAGCAAGTACCATAGGAAAGGAAGAAAACAGATGCACAAACAAGTTTGGATATTAATCAAAGGAAAAGAAAACGTTACCTCGAGAATATAAAAGCTCTAATTAAAGTCTTTTAGGTAGATTTGCCCTCAGATAGTTGCAGTTAGTCAAAACCAAAGATATATTAAATTTCACATGAAACATCATTTCCAAATTATTGCAGAATTCAGGCCCTACATCAATTATTAGAATCTGGTTATTTGGGATCCAATGGACTTCTTTTCAAATTTCAACAATTTGGTGAACCATATTTGGTCCATAGAATTCCCACAAGGTAGCAGTACTATCCTACCACACTCGAAAGGATTAACTTTATTGAATAATCAATAAAGTACTCAAAGGGATGTGAAGTTACCTACACTTTGACCGAGTTAGACTTTTATCCTCGTAGAAAACACCTTTCTTTATGGAATAATTACCCTTTATAAACTTCTTTTTTCCAACCCTTTATACACTTCACATAAGCAAAAAATGTAAACTAGTTTGGTATGTCTTACACAAAAAGGGTAGCTCCGATGCAAATCAGTAATTTCTACGTGTGCTAGCTTTCATCTACACTTGTACTCTTAAACAGAATGCGTTCTTTAGTTTAACCAATTAATTGCTAATATTGAATAGAATTCCAATTTTATTGCTTTTAAGTCAATACCAAAATTTGGATTAAACCCTAAATTCTACAAGTGTTGTCTCACATCAAGGTTGCGAGTCAGCAAATTTCAATTAATTGTTTTAGTCCAATTACACATATTTAACTTAATTCAGCCGGCCGTCAGGCCATGTTTTTGCTCCACTGGCCGTCAGACCATTTAATATTGCCAAAATACGAGTCTAATTCATTGGTTTTAAGTCTAAGTTCTATTTGGATATATGGAACACAACTTACTTTCCAAGGAACTGCAGTTAACTATCTGCTCAGATATTGTTTTACCTCCGTATCTTGTATGAAAATTAAACTTCTCTCCTTGAGGACTCAACGAAGAACAGAGGAAAACAGAACATAGATAGCCCATTAAATTTGGCAGTAAATTTCACGTAGACACATCAACTAAGATTTGTACCTATTGAACACTTTAACTTTAATAAAAGTGTGCCTGATGTTTAAAGGTCAATACCACACAAGAGGAGGATGATTTGTGTGGTACCCAATTTTCGCTTGACTGAACTATAGAAGAACCATGTTCTTCTAGGTGTTCTAACTACTACTGTTTGCAGAATAATAAATACAGAAAATAAAGAACACAACGATTTTTATGTGGAAAACACCTGACTCAAAAGGTGAAAAAACCACGACCTACTACTCAATAGGATTTTCCCAAACTTCTACTAAAATCACTGAGCCCAAACAACAATTACAAAAACTCTTTGTAAACCTAAGGATTAACTCTAATCCCGTTGTGGCACACAACCTCAACTGTTGCGACAAATTCAAGTTAACTATAACTTGAACACTCTAGGTACCTAATACAATTGCTTCTAATACAACTTCAGCATATTATGAAGAATTCCATCATTCTTCTCCTTTTCTTTGGTAAGCTCAGTTCTGAGAGCATCCCTCTCAGATTCCACCTTTGCCACATGAGCCTTGAGCCTAGCTATCTCAGCATCCTTGGCTTCACATTCCTGGACCAGAGCCCTGACTTTGCTGTTGATAGGAGTCTTCTTAGATGAACCAGGTTCATTTGGGATGACACTGACTAAATAGTCACAAGCAATCAGAGTGTTGATGCTAAAATGTTCCTTACTTGAGGCTATTTCCCATTTCTTCAGAGTCACATTGAACCTATCCAGAACTGTGGTCAGAATAAAGCCATAGGGAGTAGCATGAGCCTTGGAGCCATTAATGATGCTGTTTAGCAGCTTGATAATAAAGGCAGGCCAATTGATTTGCCTTCCACTTTCCAGGCACTCCATAAGAACCAGGTCCATGTAATTGGTAATGTGCCTTCTCTCTTGCCTTGACAATAAGCATTTGTTGACAAATTCAAACAAGACATTGTGCTGAGGCCTCATTTCACTTTTCTGAACAGCCCTGGCTTCATTCACATTCTCTACATCACAAAACCTCCTGGTAATCTCAAGGGCAGTAGGGAGGGAGTCCAGACAAGGCCACTTTTGCCTTGTATAATCATCAAACCCTTCAGAGAGTATATCAAGGATTTTTCCAAGTTTTTCTGCATCAAAGCACACTTGGACCCCTTTCACCAAACTGCTAACCTTGCCATCCTGAACCTCTACATTTTCCATGAACTCAAATATCTCATTCCTGGCTAGCCTACTATCCATCTGAAGGACCAAGTCCTTCCACCCCTGAGCAACTAAGACATCTACCAGTCTCATCTTTCCTGGCTCTACCAAGTGTTTCAGCAGTCTACCCTTCAAAATTTTTCTTTTGCCAAACATGGTAAGCTTGTCCTTTTCACCATCAGAATCTTCTACTTCTTCTCCACTCTATTCCTCATCTTAAAATTTTTTCACTTGTTTTCCTTTCACAACAGACCTTGTCCTCTTGGCTAGTGAAGGTACATCAGCCTCAGACACAAAGGAAGGCTTCTTGGAAGAAGTCTTGGGCTTTTTGGGCTTGGGGGTCTGAACCTCCATTGGTTGAACTTCCTTCTGATGGACCTGTTCCATCTCCTCAACCTCCACTTCCTCTGAGGACTCTGTAACCTTCCCCTTTCCTTTAGCTAGCCTTTTTTTCTTACTCTCATCTAGTGATTTCTGGAGATCACTCTCACTCTGCCTCACCCTGCTTCTTGTAGCTCCACCCTTTGGTAATGGAAATTTTGTGGTTGATGGGGGTGAAACCTTTCTTTTCTTGGCAGGCTTAGGAATACTGGTGGGCTTTTGTGGTGTGACTTCTGTGTTTCTTTGGGTCATAGCTTGCCCCAACCTTTTTCAGCAGGTCTGCTAGGGTCTCTTAAGCAGATGAACCAGGTTCATCTCTTTGTGTGCTCAGATTAACCAACCCCTCAGCAGCTTCCCCAAAACCACTTCCCCCTGACTTCTTGCCACTCTCTTCTACCCTTTCTTGTGCAACCCAACATATAGCAGGCACTACTCCTTTCCCATTTCCCCCTCTCTCTTTTTCTTTTTCAGAATTCTTTTTACCTCCACTCCTTCGTGACCCTGGCAATTCTAAATTCTTAACAGATCCAACAAGAACAAACCTAGTTTCTAGATTTTCAGACAGAAGAAATTACCTTAGAAGGAGATTCTTGAGTCTTTTCAGAATTAGAAGACCTAGGTCCTTCCCCCTTAGTAGCGGATTGATATGATTCAGAATCAGAGTTGGAGTCGGAGTTTTGAGCCTGGCTTGCCTTCAACTTCTCATTTAATTTCTTCCTTAGAGCCCCAGACGCTACTGTGTTTCGAGTAAGCATTTTTAACCTTCTCAGTCTGGGTTTTGGAGATGAACTGGGTGGAGGAGGTGTGGATGAATTTGAGGGAGTGGGTGGTGGAGGAGTTCCAGGATTGTCTTGTGGGTTGGTCATGATCGTTGGTTTCTTGAGAGAATTTGTGAATTAGAATTTTGGAGAAGAGGGCAAGTGAAAGTGAAGAAGAATTTTTGACGGTTTAGAATTATGGAGAAGGCAGAAGAAATGATGTGTATTTAAAGAGAAGTACACATTTAATAGGTAACGACAGCTTTTAGCAGTGGTCAATTAGAGGTCTAATCAACCTAAAATTCCAGATTTTGAATGATCGGTTTATCTTCCCTAGATTTTAGGCAATTCTTCGGTTTAGAGTTCTAGGAGGACGGAACTAGTTCAAAGCTAACAAATAGAATTTTCTAGGAATTGAACAATTATAGGACTTCTGCTCATGAATTAAATATTTATCTTTCTAATTGTGCAGAGTATAGAAAACATACTTTAGCTTTCAGATGAACCCATACTGATGAACCAGGTTCATCATTTAGAATTCTCTTGAACATGCCTGAAATTACCATAATAGAATTTTTTTGTAAGAGATCAGTGAGTCATATTAAAACATGTCACAGGAGTATACTAATTAAATTATGAAGCTGAGTAAGAATTAATCTAGATATTTACACAAGTTCAGAGTTCCTAGCCAAATTTTCTTTTCTCATTTTTCCAATGTTTTTTCATTTGTGCATTCTAAGCTGGAACTATTAGGTGATCTTAATCATCCCTAATTCCAACTTGTTCCTCTCAAAGTTTTCTCTACTTAGTTCTTTAGTGAAGATGTAAGAAATTTGTTTATCAGTAGCACAGAATTATATGGAGATCAAACCTTTCTCATAGTTATCTCTTAAGAAGTGGTGTCTAACATCTATGTGCTTAGCCCTCTTATGATGAACAAGGTTCTTTGTCATACTTATAGCACTAGTGTTATCACAGAATATAGGAATGCAACCAACTTCAATACCAAAATCTACCAGCAGTTGTTTAATCCATAGCAATTGAGCACAACAAGAAGTAGCAGCAACATATTCAGCCTCAACAGTAGATAAGACCACTGAATTTTACTTTTTAGTGGCCCATAATACAAGACATGAACCAAGAAAGTTAGCCATACATGGGGTGCTTTTCCTATCCACAAGGGAACCTGCATAATCAGCATCAACATATCCTACTAGATTGAAATTACTACCTTTAGGATACCAAAGACACAGATTAGTGGTGCCTTTCAAGTATCTCAGTATCCTCTTGACAGCAATCAAGTGAGACTCTTTTGGATTTGCCTAAAAGAGAGCACAAAGCCCTACACTGAAAACTATGTCAGGTCTGCTGGCAGTAAGATACAAAAGTGAACCAATCATACCCCTATACACCTTCTGATCAACTGATGAACCATGCTCATCTATGTCTAATTTAGTGGCAGTTGCAATGGGGGTGTCTATTTCCTTTGATTCATCCATTTTAAACTTTTTGATCAGCTCCTCTGCATATTTCTGCTGATGGATCATGGTTCCATTTGGGCTTTATTTGATCTGTAAGCCTAAGAAAAAGTTAAGCTCACCCATCATACTCATTTCAAACTCACTCCCCATTAATTTGGCAAAATCCTTGCTTAGTTTAATAGTGGTGGCCCCAAATATTATGTCATCAACATATATTTGTACCACAAGAAGATCCTTACCTTTTTCCCTCAAGAACAGAGTACTGTCAATTTTACCTCTTTTGTAGCCATGTTCAAGCAGAAATTTGGACAGTCGTTCATACCATGCTCTAGGAGCCTGTTTGAGTCCATAGAGAGCCTTGTCTAATTTGTACACATGCTCAGGATATTCCTTTCTCTCAAACCCTGGAGGTTGTTTCACAAACACTTCTTCTTTTAGGTAGCCATTCAGGAAGGCACTTTTGACATCCATCTGATGAAGAGTGAATTCCATGTGTGTTGCAAAGGCTATGAGGAGTCTTATTGCCTCTAGTCTTGCAACTGGAGCAAAAGTCTCATCATAATCTATACCCTCTTCTTGGCTGTAACCTTGGACCACCAGTCTTTCCTTGTTTCTTGTAACTATTCCATCTTTTTCAAGTTTGTTTCTGAAGACCCATTTTGTGCTAATAACTGATCTGCCCTTGGGTATTGGAACTAGATGCCAAACTTGACTTCTCTCGAACTAATTGAGTTCATCTTGCATTGCATTTACCCAATCTACATCCTGCAAAGCCTCAACAACATTTTTAAGTTCAATAAGAGATAGGAAAGTATCAAAAGCGCACAGATTCTTTAATTGTGATCTAGTTTTGACTCCAGAGGTTGGATCAGTGATTATGTTATCAATAGGATGAGAACTTCGATACTTGTGAGGTTTCGCAACCAACTGATTTCTGCTAGATGTTTCACCCATGTTTTGTTGCTGAGGAACAGGGTCATGAACAGGTTCCTTTAGGGGATTGGTTTCAGTTCCTCTTTGATCAGTCCCCCCTGTCAGGTTGCCCTGGATGGACGAACCTGTTTCATCACATGTTCCTTCTTTTGGTGCTGCTTTAACTTGTTCTGAGACTTCAGTCAAATCCTTTACCAGCCAAATATCTTCATCTTCATGTTCCTGTCTCTGAGAAAGAATGTTAGTTTCATCAAACACTACATGCACACTTTCTTCTACACACAAAGTTCTTTTATTGAACACTTTATATGTTTTGCTATGTGAAGAATACTCCCTCATCACTTCTGGTATCAAACTTACCTAGGGAGTCCTTTCCAATATTTTGCATAAAGCACTTGTATCCAAATGCCCTAAGATGGGATATATTTGGTTTACTCCCTTTAAGTAACTCATAGGAAGTCTTCTCTACAAGAGGTCTAGTCATGCATCCATTGGTGATATAACATGCTGTGTTTACAGCCTCTGCCCAGAAGCTGTGGGCAGTTTACTAGAAAGAAGCATAGTCCTAGCCATGTCTTCAAGAGTCGTGTTCTTTCTTTCAACTACTCCATTTTGTTGAGGAGTCCTAGGGGCAGAAAAGTTATGATCTATACCATGCTCATCACAAAATTCAACAAACTTAACATTTTCAAACTTAGTTCCATGATCAGACCTAATGGATGCAAGTTGATTACCTAGTTGTTTCTGAGTCTTTCTAACAAAGGCAGTAAACATGTCAAATGCTTCATCTTTAGATGTTAAGAATAGTACCCATGTAAATCTAGAATAATCATCAACAAGTACCATCACATATTTCTTACCACCTCTGCTCAATGTTCTCATTGGACCACATAGATCCATATGAACCAGTTCCAACATCTTGGTTGTGCTTACCATTTTCTTGCTTTTAAAAGATGATCTTACCTGCTTCCCCCTTGCACATGCCTCACAAACTTTGTCTTCCTTGAACTTGATGTTAGGTAGTTCTATCACCAAGTCCTTGGAAACTAATTTGTAGAGTTGACTCAGACTAGCATGACCAAGTCTTTTGTGCCACATGAAAGGATCATTATCCAACACACTTAAGCAAGTGAGTTCATTTTCTGAAAGAGCAGACAAATCTACAATGTAAATATTGTTAACTCTTTTTCCCTGCAAAACAATCTTGTTAGTGGTAAGGTTAATCACAAAGCATTTGGTAGAGGTGAATGCTATAAGGTTACCTCTGCCACACAGTTGTGACACACTGATTAGGCTATATTTCAAGCCATCTATCAAGTATACATTCTCAATGGAGTGTGAGCCTGTCTTACCTACCTTTCCAACCCCAATAATCTCACCTTTCTTCCTATTTCCAAAGGAGACATTACCTCCTTTCAAGTCCTCAAGTGAAAGGAACTGGTTCTTGCTTCAAGTCATATGTTTTGAGCAGCCACTATCCATGTACCATATTTGGCTACTTCCCTTCACTTGGACCTGCAAAATAAATCAAGGGTTAGTTTTAGGAACCTAAACTAGTTTGGGTCCCTTTCTATAGGCAAAAGGGTAAATCAAATTCCTTTTAGCCCACCCAGGCAGCCTATTTTTCTCTTGAACAAAAGCTTTGTTCTTTTGACTGGCCTTTTCTTTTGCATTACATTCATTTTTGTAATGACCAGTCTTGCCACAGTGTGTGCAAATTTTGTTCTCAGGAAGAGTGAGGTACTTGCTTTTAGGGTCCCACTTAGGTGCTTGAGTCCCATAGCCAAGTCCTCTTTTGTTGCTACTGTGATGTTCTTGTAGCCAGGAAAGTGCATCAGAAACCTTATTCCATTTGCAAGTTCTATCTAGTTCATGCTTTACCTTCCCTAGGCCTTCTTTTAAGACTCTTATCTGCTCATCCTTCCTGTACAACTCATCCTTCATTTTTACTAAGTTTTCTTCTAGGGTGAGATGTGTGTGATCAACATTTTTCTTACCTGTTCCTAGTTTTAGTTTTAAATTCTCAGACCTAAGTTCTAAGATATTGGTGTCAAGTTCAAGAACCTGGTTCTTCAACTCAGCATTTGTACTGTCACTCTCATTAGCCCTAGATTCTAGATTTTTGCACTTGGCTTTTAAGATCACACACTCCCTAGACAGATCTTCCTTCTTATTATTAATTATCTCAGACTTATCAATGAAGTCTAGCAATAGCTCAGATAACCTTTCTTTAGATAGGAATTTAATCTTGTCTTTGAGATGAAGGACACTTACCTCTTGTTCATCATCTGATTCTCCGATGGCCATAAGTGCTTGTTCATCTCCAGCTTCATCTTCTGAGTCCTCATATGATGTTTCTCCCCAAGCAGCAACCGTAGCCTTTGTTGATCCTTTGTTCCTTTTAGGTTGAACCTGTTCCTTCTTCCTGTTCCTTCGTTCAGCCCTTTCCTTCTTCCATTCAATTTCCCATTGAGGACAATTCTTGATCATGTGATCAGTCTTACCACATTTGTAGCAACCCTAGCTGGTCTGTTTCTCAGGAGCCCTTGGTTTGTTGAAGGTTTTACCTCTTGAAGAACCTTTCCTCTCATTAGGTACTTTTTAAAATCTCTTGTGATCATGGCCATTTCATCATCCTCCAGATCTGCACCTTCAGCTATTCTGAGAGCCAGACTTCTTTTATTCTTGGGTGCA